TTTGACAAGGTCCCTCACCAAAGGCTCTTAGGTAAATTAAGTTGTCATGGGATAAAAGGGAAGGTCCTTTCATTGATTGAGAGCTGGTTAAAAGACAGGGAACAAAGGGTAGGAATTAATGGTAAATTCTCAGAATGGAGAGGGGTAACTAGTGGTGTTCCCCAAGGGTCAGTCCTAGGACCAATCCTATTCAACTTATTCATAAATGATCTGGAGAAAGGGGTAAAAAGTGAGGTGGCAAAGTTTGCAGATGCTACTAAACTGCTCAAGATAGTTAAGACCAAAGCAGACTGTGAAGAACTTCAAAAAGATCTCCCAAAACTAAGTGATTGGGCAACAAAATGGCAAATGAAATTTAATGTAGATAAATGTAAAGTAATGCACATTGGAAAAAATAACCCCAACTATACATACAATATGATGGGGGCTAATTTAGCTACAACAAATCAGGAAAAAGATCTTGGAGTCATCGTGGATAGTTCTCTGAAGATGTCCACGCAGTGTGCAGAGGCCGTCAAAAAAGCAAACAGGATGTTAGGAATCATTAAAAAGGGGATAGAGAATAAGACGGAGAATATATTATTGCCCTTATATAAATGGATGGTACGCCCACATCTTGAATACTGTGTACAGATGTGGTCTCCTCATCTCAAAAAAGATATACTGGCACTAGAAAAGGTTCAGAGAAGGGCAACTAAAATGATTAGGGGTTTGGAAAGGGTCCCATATGAGGAGAGATTAAAGAGGCTAGGACTTTTCAGCTTGGAAAAGAGGAGACTAAGGGGGGATATGATAGAGGTATATAAAATTATGAGTGATGTGGAGAAAGTAGATAAGGAAAAGTTATTTACTTATTCCCATAATACAAGAACTAGGGGTCACCAAATGAAATTAATAGGCGGCAGGTTTAAAACAAATAAAAGGAAGTTCTTCTTCACACAGGGCACAGTCAACTTGTGGAACTCCTTACCTGAGGAGGTTGTGAAGGCTAGGACTATAACAGCGTTTAAAAGAGAACTGGATAAATTCATGGAGGTTAAGTCCATTAATGGCTATTAGCCACGATGGATAAGGAATGGTGTCCCTAGACTGTTTGTCAGAGGGTGGAGATGGATGGCAGGAGAGAGATCACTTGATCATTACCTGTTAGGTTCAATCCCTCTGGGGCACCTGGCATTGGCCACTTTGGTCTGACCCAGTACGGCCGTTCTTGTGTTCTTATGTGAGGGAAAGGTAGAATAAAGGAATGAATTGGTGTGGGATGGCACGGACAAAAGTAAGGGACAGGAAACAAGAAAGACTGGGTGATAATGGGATTCCATGATGGAGTCTGGGGACAGGCAGTGTGTGTTCTGGGGGTGCCCAAAATTTAGGGGAAGTGGGTTCTGTTTAGTCTTGATCAACTCTTGAGGGTGAATCATGTCAACTGTTAGCTCTCCCAATCCACATGCTTTTTAACTTTAGTAAAATAACTAGTGTCCTATGTCCAGCAAAGATTTGAGTGTGGTTTTTTAAAACGTTTCTTTGGAAATTGATTCTTTTGCTGTCCTAGGAAGAATTCTTCCCTTGTTAACGATTCACAAGAAATAAATGTGCTCTTAAAATGAGATGTCTCCAAGTGATACATATGCCTGTATGTCCTGTGTTAATGGGAGTCTTTGAGAAGTGAGTTTATGGCATGCTGTTTTTTAATTTAAAAGAAAGAGCAAGTAAACAAACAGCTATTTTCACAGTGGAAGCACAGATACTAATAACTATATAACAAGCAGCATGACAAATGTTTCCAGGAATTATCTTCACCATTTCTCTCCTCCATTTCCCTCCAACTTACTGTTATAGCCATCAACTTAAAAGTTGAGCAGTGCTGTAAACCAATCCAGGTCGCTGCATTTAGCTTCTATAAAAATCAGGCAACTTCCCTGGAAGAGTGTGTATGTGTAGTATGTGTGTCTGTAAAGACAGAAATGATAAAGCTGCATAACATGAGAGAATATGTCATGGGAGCTGGGTTATAAAGGTTTTATCAATATGAATTTGGAATAGCTGTATTACTCATGAGTGTTGAAGCCATGCATTAATTGTGTAGGTCATCCCAAACTCATGCTGGTAAAACCTTTATAACATAGCATCCCATTGTGTATTTTAAAATCCAGGCCTGATCCTCAGCTGATGTAAATCCCGTGTTGCATTGTTGACTTCAGTGGAGCTGTGCCATTTTACACCAGCTAAGGACCTAACACCACATATCTTAGTCTACCAAGGCTAGAAACATTGTATTGGAATGGGGGTTTCCTGGCTTTCCAAAATATAAAATGCCCAGGTCTTGCCGTAAAGAATCATAAGGTACACCTCTCACAAGAAACTCTTCCACTCTGTGTACACATTTTTGTTTGTAACACAATATACATACTAATAATTTTAATGTATATCAGGGGTCGGCAACGTTTGGCACGCGGCTCGCCAGGGTAAGCACCCTGGCGGGCCGGGCCAGTTTATTTACCTGCTGACGCAGCAGGTTTGGCCGATCGCGGCCCCCGCTGGCCGCGGTTCGCCGTCCCGGGCCAATGGGGGCAGCGGGAAGCCGCGGCCAGCACATTGCTCGCCCGCACCGCTTCCCGCCACCCCCATTGGCCCGGGACGGCGAACCGCGGCCAGCAGGGGTCGCGATCGGCCGAACCTGGCGCGTCAGCAGGTAAATAAACTGGCCCGGCCCACCAGGGTGCTTACCCTGGCGAGCCGCGTGCCAAACGTTGCCAACCCCTGATGTATATACATATATATCGTGTGTGTTCATTGCATGTATTACTCTATTTCCTTGAGGACCTTACGTGATATTTACCTTCTTTTCTGGGAGGCAGATTTTTGGGTCTGAACTGAGGGAAAGTTTCAGCTTTCAAGATGGTGGCCGTAGCAATAAGTATAGTGCCCCCAGTAGATATATGCTTGTGTAGTGAGTGACTCATTGCAATTTGATTCTACTTTTCCATACAGTTTAAAGTGTATCACTCAAGAGGAAGACAGTATGATGTACTTTACTTTTATAATTAAGGTCCTAAATGAAGGAGATGAAGAGGAGAAGACAGAGCAAAATTATAATAATGCAGTTTGTACGCAATGTGATGCTTGTACCATTGTTGATTTTCTGAAAAAGGTCAGGGCTGAAGTTCTTTGGCAGAGCTATGTGAGGAAGTTAGCACAGCAACTCACGTACATAGTGCCTGGCTCAAGCCAGGGTTATTAACACTAACCTTATTAGTAACTTTTCTCTGAAGTCTGTCAAGATGACACATTAACAGCCTTACTATGCAACATGTTACTGGATATTGGTGGTACTAGAATTCCTGTACATGGTTTCTTACAACAGCTCTGTTCATCATTACTGCCCACCAAACAGTGGGTGGACTTGCTAGGGAGCCACAGAGGTGAGTGATTCCTCTAGTCAGTGAGTTAGTTAGCCAAGAAGCTGGAGCAGCCATTTGCTTGTTCACGTTTGTGGGATGTGATTCTTCACAAGGACTAGATTATATAAATGACTGAATGTTAAATGAGCATTTTGGTCCTTTTCCTGTGCTTCTGGTTTGCCTTTCTTGTTGTTTTGCTGTAGTTCAGACTTTTTTGGCAGCATTTTGTTGTTCATTGCTTTGTAAGAGCATAGTTTTCAAGCACTTTATGTTTATTGCAGCCTATCTTTCTTGCTTTGGAAAGTCCTTTCCAATATAGGGGGATTCAAACAAATAACAAGTATTATGATTCTCTGTCTCAGCTGGGCACACGTTGTGGGGGGCTGAAACAGCATGCTCCGCTCCTGTCTTTTTGCATCACAGAAACCTGCTTAGACTCCCTTAGTTGTTTATCCAACTGTGCCATTCATTTACAGTCTCTTTCAGCAGTACTATTTGCAGTGTACCCTGTGCTTTTGGCCCTTCCCCCAGGGCCTGAGAGGAGCTGAGGTCTTTTTTCTCTGAGATCTCCATGAGACTGGGCTCAGCTAGCCCTGATCCTCTCTCCCCCTCGCTGCTTTCCTGTGCCCTTCTTATCAGTCGTGAGCTGATGGGCCAGTTGGCTCTTCAGCCCACCCATCCTCCCCCCACACACACACACACACTCCTGAGTGGGGTAATTTAAGTTAATTATCTAATCATCCTTTTCTGCGGGAACTGAGTGATCAGAGTGCAAGCTCACCTGGTAACTCTCTGCACTCTGTCACAGAGTGAAAGCTTGGATCTGCAGGTAAAAACTTGTTCCACTATCTGCAGTGAAAGAGAAGACTGCCAGTATGAGGCCTTAATGTTCAACAGAAGGGCTACTATGCTGCAGCATGATTTTTTTTGATGATGGGTAACCATAGCAAGGACTATCTGCCTATTACTATTTTGTGTATTATTAATAAAGTTGGAGTCATTACTTTCCCTACACCTCCCGTCTGTCCTCCATTGCAGCATGTTGCAACATGCCATCAACAGTCATTGGTCTACATTGCTAGATCAGCTGAAGTATGCAGGGCTGTGTCTTGCTTTTTCCACATTCTATTCCAAGATAATAAACTGCTGTCAGCTACTCAGTACCACCACCAATGAATGGAATATTGCAGCACAAGCTATCTCATGAGAGAGCTGTACAGAGCATCACCCTCTCTTGTTTGGTAGGGACTGCTTACTGTTTGTGCTGCTAAATTAGCTGTATTCTTGGGAAAGTAACCACATGCACGAGCTAGTCTACTAAAGCCTCTAATCCGATTTGGTCCTTATTTTTGTATGTTGCCAAAATGTATACAGCTGTTGGTGATTTTTCTCTTTAATATTTAAGCGAGTAAATCTTGTATAGGCAGAAAGAAGGCTGCAATATGTTATATAGGCTGAGGAACAAAAGAAAGTCTGAAGGGCAAATTGATGCAAATAGGGTAATTAGCTTTCTTTAACTTTGTTTTGATAAATAATTATAGCTCATACAGTGTATTGATTTTTAACTTCCTCACCACAAATTTTTGTTTTGTTTTGTAGGCTGGATTTGGGTATGGTTTGCCAATCTCTCGTCTTTATGCTAGATACTTTCAAGGAGATCTCAAGCTCTATTCAATGGAAGGCGTGGGTACTGATGCTGTAATTTATTTGAAGGTAACAACTTGATTCCATCATAAGATAGTAAAGCTCTCAGTAATTAATTCTCTTGTCAGGCAGAACAGTCAACTGTTCCTCATTTCACACTTAAATTTGTTTCCAGTGTATATGTACAGTTTTTTTAACTTGTATTATTGTACTTTATTTAAATCAGACATACAGAATCTAAAAACTGAAGAATAAATGTGGCATTTTTGACCACAGGCTTTGATATTGAATTAGCTTGTTTCCAGTATTTTTTTATCCCTTAATGTTGGGTCTTTGTTCCATATTTTGATTTTGATCGATATTAAGTGATGAGATACCCAAGACCCTGGTGTGATGGCAGGCAACTTTTGTTAATACTTTTGTTCTTTTGGTTTCTGACACTTGTGACCACAATTAAATTGGGAGAGCCGGAATGAAGTGCACATTGGAGTGTAGAAGAATGATACAGATTAAAATGTTCCATTTCTATTCTTTTTTTTCTCCTCCTCTCAGTCTTCACTTTTACTTCTCCCATCTTTGGGGCTCACCCCTTTAGAACGAGCTTTGCCCCTAGCCAATGAAGGTTAGATAATTATTGTTTGGAATTTACCAAGGATTGATTCTCCATCACTGGCAAGTTTTAAATCAGGATTGGATGTTTTTCTAAAAGATAAGCTGTAGGAATTATTGTGGGGAAGTTTTGTGGCCTGTGTTATACAGAAGGTCAGACTAGATCATCACAAAATAGAGACACTCTCATGGCGAAGGTTCTGTCAGCCGCTCCCTCTCTCTCATATTAAGGGAGTTCCCTCTCGAGTGTGTCTGCTGAGCTCAACTGTGGCAGCATATCCTGGGGGGGAGAGGCATCACTCAGGTAACCAGGTCGCAAATAAATCAGGGCATTTAAAGCCAACTGCTTGAATCCAACCCAGAAGCTTATTTCAAGCCAGTGCATGTCACATAGTGCTAGTCTGTGCAGCTGCACTGAGTAAGCACTGAATAAGTAATTCTCCAATGGCTTCATCTTCTGAATGGTACCAAAGTGTAACCCCACGTCGAGTGCATTACAATAATCTAATCTTGGTTTGACAAAGGTATGGATAAGTGTGGCAAGGTCCTAACTGGAGAGAGAAGGTGAATGTTGGTGGGCTTATTCACCAGCCCAGGAAAATGCAATAAATAGAAAAAAACTGTTACCTTTGCATCCAGGAGCAGCCCAGGATCTAACAGAAACCCCAAGTTGTGCACTGGTGTTACAACTCACAGTTGTGGTCCCTCTTTGAATTCTACCATCTCTTCCCCATGACCCACCAACACTATCTCAGTCTTGCCTGGATTGCGTCAAGCCAGCTGGCTTCAGTTCTAGATTCAGATTAATCATGTTAGATCTAGGGCAGTGGATCTCAACCAGGGGTACATGTACCCCTCGGGCTACGCTGGGGTCTTCCAGGGGGTACATCAAGTCATCTCGATATTTGACTAGTTTAACAACAGGCAACATAAAAAGCACTAGTGAAGTAGGTACAAACTAAAATTTCATACAGACAGTGACTTGTTTATACTGCTCTATATACTATACACTGAAATGTAAGTACAGTATTTATATTCTAAATGATTTATTTTATAATTATATGGTAAAAATGAGAAAGTAAGCAGTAATAGTGTGCTGTGACATTTTTGTATTTTTATGTCTGATTTTGCAAGCAGGTAGTTTTTAAGTGAGGTGAAACTTGGGGGTACGCAAGACAAATCAGACTCCTGAAAGGGGTACAGTAGTCTGGAAAGGTTGAGACTCACTGATCTAGGGGAATGGACCTGCCAAAATAGTTCTAAAAAAACCAACTAAAGGGCCCCCTAAAACTTTTTTCTTTTAACCGCTTTCTTTTTATTCTCTTTGTAGCCACCATTCCCATGGAGACGGGGAGCATTTCAAAATGGATTTTTTTCATGGATTTTTATTGCAATATGGTCAACCCATTTTGAACTGAGTCACCATAAGCATAGTCAAAGTGGCTTCTAAAATACCATGTGTGGGGGACATGTAAATAGTTGAAACTTTTGTTGAATGCAGAAGTTAGTGTTCACAAAGAGTCTGTTATCATGTCTACCACTTTGTTGCTGAGAAACGTACAATAATCTCTTACCATTGCTTTCATTTTATAGGCTCTTTCAAGTGAATCATTTGAAAGACTTCCAGTTTTTAATAAGTCTGCATGGCGACACTACAAGACTACACCCGAAGCTGATGACTGGAGCAATCCTAGCAGTGAACCCAGGGATGCATCTAAATACAAAGCTAATCGATAATTTACCACCTTTGTCTCTCCCGAAGACAACTTCTGCATTCAGTTTAAAGTCTATGCTTTGTTCCAAAATCCTCTGAACCATAGTAGCCAATTACTTCCATACAAAGTCCTATCAGGGCACTGAAATTACAAAAACAAAGTGATGTATGAGACTTAAGAAAAGCACTAAGCATTTTTGGTGTGGGTGGTGTTATAACAACTTTACCAAAATATGCTTGGTTAGTTTGGTTTTATTTTGACAAATGAGATTGCACTTAAGTACACAACTATATAGTGAAAGGGTATTACTTCTTAACGGCCAGTTTTTATGCACAAATAAAAATCAGCAAAATCTGTAGAATCCCTTTAATAGTCAATAGCATCTGACATAGCAATATTATGTACCAGACAAGTTCTAACATAGCTGAATGTGTGCTTAGAAAATCCACTCTTCGCTGCAGTTTCATATTGCACAGTCAGTGTCATCTGTTATATAAAATCCTTTTGGGCTCTTCAGATCTTATAGCTAGTGACAATAGAGATGCATAGTTCTTAGAAGGTATCTGTAGCTTTAAACTGATGCTTTCCCCATATTCCCAAATCCGTTTGTCAAGTGCATCCAAAAATATATATTCTTCTAAGGCATTGCAACTTTCACCTCTTAATATGCACCTTAATGTTTTACTGAATTTGCACAAAATGCCAAATGATAAATCACATTAATTATTTTAAGAAAAGATTATAAGGGGTCAATGCTTCTCTACATTCTTGCAAGTAACTCCCATTGATATAGAGGTGAGAGAATAAATTTTATATGTGATGTTCTTTGCCTGTCAGATACTTTTTTGCTTTGCTTTTGGGAAAGCATACTGAGAAACCAGACAGCCAGTCATGTAAGTGAATTTGCCTTAAGAATTTTGGTCACCTGGAACCTGATCAGTTGTAAAACGGTAAATAATTTGCCAAATTATTTATCTATGTAGCAAAAGACAATAGTCTGATAATTTGAATTTGTACTATATAGAGAGAGTTGTTGCACCTTGGCTTTTGGAAAGCATTACTGGTCTAAATATTATTAAACTGGGAGCATAATAGAAACAATGAAGGATAATTAAAAATAGGAGATGGCTGATAAGTTGATGACTTCTTCCAAGGAGAGAGAGATTCATTAAACAGCATTCTCTAAAATTGGTTGAGAGTTACTTATGAATGTCAAGAAGCTGTACTATACCAAGTTTCCACCAAATATTGCCTCTGATATTGTGGGTCCATAGAGTGTACTATAGAGGTTAGGCGTTCTGGTAATATCCTAACTACAAGAGTAAAGGTAGAATGGGTTATAATGACAACTGTACTTGAAGATGTACCCTCAGTATCTCTGTGGTGTTTTGATATTTTTTGAAAGATATTGCAAGATTTTAACTAGACAAAACTTGTTTACTAAAACTCAGCAAAATATCCCTTTGTCCTCCTGAACATTTATTTTGTAAGAATTAGTCTGTTAGATAAATAAGGAAAAGGTGAGAACTTCCTGGATATTTTTAAAAAAAAACTTAGTTTGAGTTAGAGTAATGATGTTACTTTGCACTTACATAGCACATTTCATCCCAAGAATCTCAAAGCACCTTGTAAGCAATTCAGTCTCTCAGTACCCCATTTTTTGATGCACAAACTGAGAAAAGATAAACTCCTGATCCTGCAGACACTTCCACATACTTGTATGGAAGTTAACCACCTGTAAAATTGTGTGCAGGATTGAGGGCCGATGTTAAACAATAATCCCCCATGGTTGCAGACACCACTGAAGAGAGAGAAAGCTGCCATTCACATGCTACAGCCAGGTGGTCCATCTGTCACTGTGTTAAAATCAGTGTCGTCACTGAAGAATACTTTAAATGGCTAGAGCCTTAATTTTAAAGGACACATTAGACCAGAAATCTAGTCACTTTGGAAAAAAAAAAAAAAAAAAAATCTGTTCTTGCCATATTTTGTACTTTTACAATCTCCTTCTTTTTAAGTTGTATCCTTGTTGCTGTTTGAAAGATTCCCCCCAAAAATAGATGAAAACTGGTCATATGGGGAGACTGTGAAACTGATTATACAAGAAGTGGCAAAATGTAAAATTTGCTTGAAAATATAATTGACTACGAACTTCAAAGAACAGAATATATGTATGAAAAGTGTAACATTTTTGCAGTTATTAGGAAAAAGTCATGTTATGACGCATTGAGTGATTTTTAGGTCTAGACTGCTTCTGTTTGGGGAAATTTTGGCTGACTGGTGGTTTATAAATGAAAATGAATAAAATAGTCCATGCACAGGAATGTTAAGCAGAAATTCCCTTTTGTGTAGCAGAAGTACATTAAGAAAATAAATACAGAAGCCAGTGAATGAGAAGTGAAGATATGAAGGGCAAGTGTTACCATAATTGCTGAGTCACTACTTTAACTAAAACAATTTGTTTGGTATTCAAGGCTAATCTGATTACTGAATAGGATGAATGCTTTGGTGCTCCTTAAGCAAAGAAAGTTTCGGTCACTTGCAGATTGGCCACCAGATGCTCCTTACTACTCTAGGGAAGAGGAGTTGGTGTCGTGTACATTTTCTTCACATCCTATTACATACTTGAAAACTCATGTCCTCTGAAATGGCTGCAATTAGCAATTTATTCGTTGAATCCTCTGCATGTCCTGATAGTTCAGAGAGGGGAGATGAGAGCAGATTCTACTCTGTCCTCTTTCCACCAGGCACCCCTAATTCCTCTGTTTTCTTCTCATCCTTGGAACCCCCTGAGCCTCACCACCCCCCCTGCACCCAGACACACACACACACATCCCCCATGGTGAGGAGTTTCCTGTAGCCAGGGGAAGTTTCTGGGGCTTGATCTGACCCAGCCCTGGCTGCTTCATGCAGGGAAGGGGGAGGGGAAACTCCGTCTCCGGCCTCCTCCTACCCCACCTCCCTCCAGCCCCAGCTGGGACTAATGTCCCTGGGTGGCCAGGGCATCCCCAGACTCCTCTCCCCGTGGCTGCCTGAACAGATGCGTCTGAGCTGCCAGGAGGGGTGAGTGAGCACTGGTGAAGCTTCTCTTTGCTTCCCCACAGAAACCATTTTCTGCAAGGAAGCAAAGGGATTCTGCGGGGAGGGCATTTTTCTGCTGTGCTGCAGTTGTGCAGAATTTCCCTAGGAGTACCTCTCCCTTTCTGCCTTACCTAAGCTACCAGCCTACCTACCTGCACAGAGCTCACTTCTGCCCCAGGTTTGACCTCCCTAATTCAAGTAATCTCCCTCTGCAGCATGTTGGCCTGTGGGAGTGGAGAGGAATTGTCAGCAGGGGAAGTTTGATAGGGAGGAGAGTTTCCCAGAAAAACAAAACTGACTTACATCCTGAAAAATTAAGATTGATAGTTGTTGCAGTGTTGATCCTAGCTAGTGTATCTAAAGATTCTGCTCTTATTCATGGGCGTCTAATCCTGTTTTGAATCTTACGAGGCCATTTGCCTCAATATCCTGTGGCACTGAATTCAAAAGTTAAATTTTATGTAGTGTAAAAATTTATTTCTTTTTATCCATTTCAGATTTATAGCCCTCTAACTTTATTGTATCCCCTTGTCTTGAGTTACAGAGTGCGGTAGATTAGAACAGACGTCTTCAGCTTTGTCATTAACAAAGACAGAGAGACTGAGCTATGCATACTGTCTCCTAGATTCTTCTTGGGAATTTACAACTGACTCTCATACCCTGATGGGATTGGAGTAGTTTAACTTTATTATTTCTGGTGTGCATCCTCTGGCATGTCTGTCTTGAACTTAATCTGCTGACTTGTAGCTCAAATACCTAATGTTGATAGATACTTATTGAAGTTCCTTTTAAAAGAAAAGCCATAAAACCTTGTGCTCCTTGATTCTGCTAAATTTCTCAATCTAAGGGGTCTTTCTGGGTCAGTACTTGGAGATGAAACTTTCAAGGAATAGCTAAATGCTCAGGTAAGTATTGTCTGGAAATGTAGTAGATGGTGCTGTCTTTATCTGAGTATTTTTCCCTGGTGACCCAGCATAGTACCAAAGGAATCTTATGCTGCTGCAGTTTGTGTTATCTTTTGGATAATATTTAAAATGGAGGTCCTGTCCTCCTATGGTTTTGTAGTTCCCTTCCCACTTTTTGAAGGAGTATGGATATCCTCTCATGGATCAGTAACTGGTTAAAAGATAGGATACAAAGAGTAGGAATAAATGGTCAGTTTTCACAATGGAGTGGTCAATAGGTGGGTACCCCAAAGATTTGTACTGGGACCTGTGCTGCTCAACATACCCAAATGATCTTGGAAAAAGGGGTAAACAGTGAGGTGGCAAAATTTGCAGATGACAAACAATTACGCAAGATAGGTGAGTCCAAAGCTGACTGTGAAGAATTACAAAGGGATCTCACAAAACTGGGTGACTGGGCAACAAAATGACAGATGAAATTTAATGTTGATAACTGCAAAGTTATGCACATTGGAGAGCATGATCCCGACTATACATACAAAATGATGGGGTCTAAATTAGCTGTTACCACCCAAGGAAGAGATTGTGGGGTCATTGTGGATAGTTCTCTGAGAACATTTGCTCAATGTGCAGCACAGTCAAAAAAACTGACAATATTAGGAACCATTAGGAAAGGGATAGATAATAAGACAAAAAATATAATGCCACTATATAAATCCATTGTACACCCACAGCTTGAATACTGCAATTCTGGTCACCCCATCTCAAAACAGATATATTAGAATTGGAAAAGTACAGAGAAGGGCAACACAAATGACTACGGGTCTAGAACAGATTCCACATGAGGAAAAATTAAAAAGACTGGGACTGTTCAGCTTAGAAAAGAGACAAGTGAGGAGGGATATGATAGAGATCTATGAAATCATGAATGGTATGGAGAGAGTGCATTAGGCGGTATTATTTACCCCTTCACAGAACACAAGAACCAGGTATCACCCAATTAAATTAATAATCAGCAGGTTTAAGGAAGTACTTCTTCACACAAAACAGAGTCAACCTGTGGAACTCCTTGCCAGAGGATGTTTGTGAAAGCCAAAAGTATAACTGAGTTCAAAAAAGAATTGGATAAGTTCATGGAGGATAGGTCTGTCAATGCCAAGATGGTCAGGGACGCAGTCCTATGTGCTGGTGTTCCTAAACCTCTGACTGCCAGAAGCTGGGACTGAACAACGGAATGGATTACTCAATAAACTGCCTTGTTCATTCCCTCTGAAGCATGTCATGCAGGTCACTGTTGGAAGACAGGATACCGGGCTAGATGGGCCGTTGGTCTGACCTGGTATGGCCATTCTTGTTTTTATGATGTACATCTTGGTGTTCTTGCCAAATTTTATCTCCAGTTATAAATCCTGCCTATAGCTCCAGTTGGATATATTTTTTTTAATGGCCTTAAGTGTTGTGCAGAGTTCATGTTCACTATGAAACAGTTTTTGCTTCCAACCTAAAGGTGACTGCATTTCAGTGGGGTGGGGTGTGATCTCACAAGCTAGCAAAGCATTTGGGTGAAATCTTGGCCACGTTGAAGTCAGTGGCAAAACTCCCGTTGATTTCACCCTTAATTTTTTTATAAAGTGCTTTTAGATGCTTACATCTAAGGTGCTATAAATTGCAAAGTGAGCTTGACTGATTTAAATAATTTTGTATAAACACACCTAAATTTTAGGGTCAAGTATATTTATCTCTCGACACTATCCATGCCAAGTTGGCTATTGTTAGTCATTTAATTAGTATGTATGTTTCCTTGGTTGTAGCAAAGATGCTGTGGTTTTGTAACAGCTCTTCATCTCCTCTTTCTGGATATTCACTTACTCATGAATGAAAATATTCTAATGTGTTTCAGCGATAAAATAATCCTCTGAGGCAGTTTAC